AATTGGAAAGAGGCAGAAGGTTTATAATATACAATGAAACAAGATTTGTCAGCAGGATAGGCTGTAGATTTACCTTTCCAGACACCTAAATATTTTAAAAATTAGCAAGGAGGAAAAGAGCTGAACTCAGAAGAGGTTTGTTTCTTCACCAAGTAACATTCAGTTAAAATTCTATGTTTGTGGACAGAAAGATGAACAAGCCACAGTCTTCTTCTAAACAATCTTTACAATATGACTTATAATTCACTTATGAAATCATGAAGTAGCCAGGATTGGATTAATATGCATGATCACCTCTCAAACATTTATGCTTAAATTGCCACAATCTATGTGCTTTCCAAAAAACAATCACACTTAAAGATTGCACTGTGAACTTAATTCAGATTAATTTACAATAACAACTTGTGTGGCTTTATCAAAATGTAGAGTCCTAAACAGAGAAAAAATTCTTTACCTTCCAGAACTATAAATAGGAACTAAGAACCACGTTTTCAAAGGTATTTAAGTGCCTGCCATAGAACAAAGCCATCCACAATAGCTAAATCCTTGAAAACTTTGATTTGATAGACAGGAAAAAAAATCTCATAGAAAATGTTGCAGAAGGTGATCATGTCACTGCCTCACTAGTTAGCCTGAATTATTGTATTCCTCTAATAAGCAGTAAGAAAATACACAGCATATAACCTTTGCACACTTACGCCAAGTGGCCATCAAAAATTACAGCGTGTTTCCTAGTTAATCAACACCTTTGGACCAGTTTAATCTCTAACTAAGTGGCAGACTTCAACAGTCGTAGTTACATAAACACCTAAACTAAGTTCTATGATAAACATATGTATTTTTTCAACAAGACATAGCAGTCCTGTTCAAGTTGTAATTCAGGTGATAGAAAAGGTGTTCCTTGTTTACTGAGATTTTTCAAGCAGGAAAAAAAACTCTGCCTGCCTGCTTTTTTGAGCATTGTCCAATAATCTTCATTCTGGCATCATACCACCCTTAGTAAGCATGTGCTAGCAACTAAATTCATTTGCCTTTCAGCTCCCCCAAGTGCTGTTGACGGGTAAAACTTTTAGTTATAGAGGTGACTGTCAGGACAGGAGGAAGGAAAGGTCCATACATAGGAGCTAAGTGTACTATAAATGCAGGAACTTTTAAAACCATCAGATATAAACCTCGTCCTAGTAACTCCTCAGTGGAAGCATAATGAAAAACAGACCAGCAAATTATCAAGAACAGATCATCAAGGTAATAGCCAGGCAACATTACACTCAGCAAAAATTACATTTTCTAAATTGTAGCTTTCTAGATTGCACTGGTAGGATTAAAGGCGAATTGGTACACAATACCATCTTTACAGGTTATGCCCAATTAGCCCTTTGGATTGTAAATTGTTGAAGAAATTGGGGGAATCACCCAAGAATCATGAATCATAGCTTTGGTTTACTCTTCAAGTAAACTGAATAAATATATAAATTATATAAGATATATAAATTGGTGCAGCATAAGAAATTGATTCAGTTCTTGTTATTCTAGGTTCATTCTCTCAAAACACTGGAGAGAATGAACCTGGAACTGAATCCATTTCTTATGCTGCGCCTATTTATTTACACACACACACAATCTTATATAATTATAAGAAAAGTCTATCTGTCATTGGATCAGTGTTATTTAAACCTATAGGAATTATGCTGACTGAAAAATGTACCCAGTATCTTTTGAAAGTCCTACAAAAAGCCTACAATAAATGTATTTAAAGTTGGTCATAATCTTTTTTAGCTACTTTGACATTTTCCCAGTGAACTAACTTTTTCCATACAAATACTCTGGAAAGATTGAGCATCAATGTTTAAAATGTTTATTTTTCCTCAAGATCACATATGTATATCCCAAGTTTCCAGGATTTTTTTTCCCATTCACTTTTTGTGCCTGGTTCATTTCTCTTTTTAACTTTGTACTTGATTAATGTTTGTTCAAGTCTTCTTATTCTACAATGTCTACCATGAGTTTTCTTTAAAAGAAAAAAAATATTGGGTCTTTTTTTAAAAGGTAGATAATCCTACAAGAACAATAATTAAGACGAAAAGAAGGGAACCTAAAGATGTTAGTGTATCATGGGTGAGCTTATACAGAATTACTGTCAAACACCCAAACCTGTTGAGGGTTGCATTCCCTTAGAGCAGTGTTTCTCAACCTCAGCAACTTTAAGATACATGGAATTCAAGTCCCAGAATTCTCAGACTTGAAGTCCACACATCATAAAGTTGCTGGGGTTGAAAAACACTGCATTGGGGGGTGCTACAATAAGAAGACCTGAAGGGGATGAGCAGAGGCAAAGACAAAAATAAACAGTTCCCAACTTTTCTTTGTCTTTCTCTCTACTACAACCTTTCCTCTCCAGCCTCTCCCCCAACAGACTTTTCTTAGGACTTTGAAGCAATCTCTTGCTGAAGGTTGTTTTTTTTTTTTTTAATTAGATCAAGAGCCACATGTTCCTTTAGGAACAGAAGTTGCCCTCCCCTGTCCTAGATCATTAATAATCACTGATAATGGGATATGCTTTTTTTTTTTGGCAAGATAGAAGGAAGGAGGGTTTTTCCCCCCAGTTGCAACTATTTCCCTGCATAAAATCCATTGAAAATAGATGCACCCTAGAAAGTCAGTGTGCTCATGGTAAACAACCACAAATCTAGACCATGCAGAGAAACAAAGAGTTGAGATTCTTCATGCTCAGAATGTGAAACAGTAAAAACTCCAATATTTTCAGACTGATAACTGAATAAAAAGTGTTACAGGAAATTCAGCATTTCTCATGAGGCAAAAAATCAATTTCCCTGCTATGTTTGTCTCAGAATCCAATGGAAAAACAAAACAGAGCACTCTATTCAACCCCAGAAATCAAGAGAAGAAGCAGGCTTTTATTATTAAAACAAGAAAGAGCCTTGTAGCCCTTTAAAGACATTTTTTCTTGGTATAACCTTTCATAGACCACATGAAATACATTTAAATCTTCTATGGCAAGGCTCTTTATTTTTTATCCTTGTATCTCTTTTAGAAATTTCAGTCTCTGTTACAGAAGGATCACTATGGGGTAGCATCTTAGTGGGATACAATCTTAAATGAAATATACAATTATGCATACATTTCTCTTCAAAACAGAGATTTTTTATTATGGAAACCTCCTGCTATCTTCAACACTTGAATGAAACAACTTGGCTTTTAAATTTTGCAGTAGGGATCAAGAGAGGGAGGACAGGCCCATACCAAAGATCAAGAGCCAGTAACTCCATCTTGCAGAGATACTGCAGCCAAAGTCAAGGAATACCGTACCAGAACCAAGAGGGATCTGGCTAGAAGAATGGTTGTGGTCCAGGTGAAAGTCAATATATCCAAGAAAACAGTTCATGGACCCAGATTCCAAACATGGACGTATAAGGCAAACTGAAATGTATTGTCTAGGAGTAGGCATCTTAGCCTCTGACACTGCCCTATTAAACTCCTGGCAATCAATGCCTCCCAGACCTTTTTCTCCCCTTCTAGCCCTCTTTTCTGACCTAAGTCTTGAGCCCAACAAGCAACCGAGACTCCCTTTGCTTCTTCTTGTTATTTATATTGTACTGTGTTTTTAATTTATTTTTTTGTTCGTTATTGTGAGATGCCCAGTCAATTTGGAGGCAGGCCATGCCTTAATCTAATGAAATAAACAATAACAAATTCTGACCTCCTCCTTGGAGGAAGAGCTCAGGTCATGACCAACTGCAGGATTGTAAAATACATCCTGCTAATTTTGCCACATCATTGCAATGGTGATGAAACAATTCTTGATTTCGCTTTTAACTTCTCTATGGAAGGAAATGCTTGAATATCATGGGAACAATCCTATTTTCTTTCTTTTATATTAGTGCAACACTTCTAAAATACCACTTCTATAGTTCTTTGGGATGCATTTATCTATTTTTTCCAGGACAGCGAACATATTTCCAGAAAAAATAATTTCTCATTTTTATTTTGTAAGAATGCCTATGAGTGCTAATGTGGAGCCTTGAGGCATTCTTGAAAATTAAGGTGCTGGTTGAAATACTTTGCTTTGCAGGACACCAGCTTCTCTCTCTTTTTTTTTCATGAAACATACCTTTAAAGATGATTAAAGTTAGATATGGCAGGGAACCTGGCAGGCGCCAAGGAAAATATCCATGAGATCTATGTTGCCATCCCTGACTTAGTCAAACATCCTATGTGTCTTATATTCTTGTGGCCAAAAAGATTTCTTTTCTCCTGCTGCTGGTTAGCAATCACTATTCAAAGACATGCTGTCTCAGTTCCTGAAAATATCATATGGTCATTATGAAGTAGAACCTCATGAATTTGTCAAATGCTATATTCTGAAGGTTGCAAATTCCATAGCAGGTCCTGGTATCACTCAGTAATTACCTGGTCTATTTCTTGCACATGCCGCTGAAACTTAAGTTTTTTTCTCACAAAACTCCTGGCTCCTTCCCTAGGTCTTCTTTGATGGCTTCTCTTACATCATTACTACTATCAGGAATAATCTGCTGGTTCTGCACTATAAGGTGGTATATTACTCCCTTCTGTAAACACATGTGGCAAAATACATTTCTCAGATTTCAGCCTTAATCTGCACCAGTGTCTTTAATCTAAATACCCATTGCGACCTTAGCACAATGAATAGTTTACCATATGTAGGCTATATATTAGCACAAAATCCCAGCACTTCCGTGTGGTCAGATATATGAGGAGAGATGCAAATTTGCATAACCCTGTAAAAAGATACATGGTCAGAATGGGAAAGACCCAGTGGAGAATGCAATATCAATACTCATATGGGGGGGGGGGACATTTCTTTACAAATTCTCAAACTTTGACAAAATGTCATTACTTTTCTCACCCACGTCAATGAACTATTCCTGTATGCATGTTACCTCTTAGCTTCCAGAAAAGACTCAGTTCTGTTCCTATTTAGGTGGAGATTCTATAGTTCATACCTGGCAATAGTTCTGTGTTAAGGTATTTTCTGGTGAAGGTTTGTTGTGGGTGTCTCCTTCCCGATGGCTGCAATCCAGCTGGATGAGTCTTCTGCATTCCTGATGGCAGGTGTATTTGCAGTCTAGGGAGGAAGGACAACTGTAATTAAGATATGGAATAAACAATAAACATTCACTTTTTCCAGTGCGTGCATTTTGCAGCACAGAGGACACAGCAAGGGGCACAAAATAGTCTGAGAGATGGGGAATGGCTAAATCCACAGATTAAGCAATCGAATACAGAAAAATGAAAAAACAACAACAAACCAACGTCGTTCATGAAAGTTATAAACATTAAAACATAATTATAAAGGAAAATATTAGTCTTCCTCCTGTATGTATGGTCAACCATATCTATTCATATTTTTACTGCATATGTAGGAATGCATACTAGTTCCTATCAATATAAACAAGCAACCCCCTGGAAAATGGCTCCTCAAAGCAGTGTGCTATAGCTTCCTAAAACGACTGCATAATCATCGGGTTCATTTCACACAAACAGCAGATGAAATGAGAAATCTGTATCTACACTGTATAACTGTATACCAAAAGTGTGGGAACTGCATGGCTAATTTTTTTTTCCAGCAGAAAAAAATAGCATGTGAGACTACAGTTTAGTCTCCCTACGTGGAAGGGATTTTGTATAAACAGTCAAAGATGAAGACTACACCTGCAGCCTAAAGTAGTTCAGTCCAGAAAATACCTTTATGTCATCTGTTATTTACTAGAAACAGGTCACAAACCTCTCTAATGAAACCTGGAAATCATAATTCGAACAGTGTGGAACAGCAAATGTGCAAGGAATGTGCAAGGGATGGGGGAGCAATTTAGTCACAGCACCTAAAAGAACCTGGTGGAACTCACGCGTAATCCCCCCTAACCAACTTTCTAGACTGAAAAAGCTGCTTGGACAAGCAGCGAAACATATCACACCAAAAGAAAAGAAGTCCAGTTGCCATGACTCAACCTCCAGATAATTCCACCTGGGTGACTGAGAATCTTCATCAGTATACTGGTGGAATAAGATTTAATAGAGTGGAGCCCAATTATTCACAAAAATGAATAATCCATAATATATGCATTTTATGGCAAAATCAATATTTTGCCGTAAGATTCTGTTGAGCATGGGAAGCACTCTTGTTAAGGCCTGCTTCTTTGTCTTATGTTTATGTTTTTAGTTATGATAGGGGGAAAAAACCGTCTAGTTTTATTTTCTACATAACGCTAGGCACCTCAGCCATACAGGTCTGGCCTACCAAATAGACAGAAACTGGTGTGGTTTGTGCTGTTGTGATAATAATGCATACAAAAGGTGCTATATGTGTTTTGGACTACAACTTCTATATTCTCCAGTTATCATTGCCAATAAGCACAGATTATGACAGCTTGATGCTCCAAATATCTGATGAGCACCAAGTTGCCTAAACAATGATAGTCAACTGATCAAATGTGTGTTTACATACTGAAGCTAAAGCACTTTCACAATTAACAAAGCGATTCTTCTCTGCATAACAGTTCCTGAGAATATAACAGTGCAGGAGGTAGGTACTACCTTTATATCTTTCTAAGAACTTTCCAACTGGCATCTAGCTGACCATTATGGAACAATATGATGGACCTCCCAGGCCATTAGTTCAATCCAGCATGGCTCTACTTATATTGGTTTGGCTAGAGCAAGCTCTCAGGTAAAGTGGCCATGAGCAAAATCAGGGACAATTCATCACAAGGTTTATAGATATTTCATCTTCAGATTAATTATTAATAGGTAGGTCGACACTTTTTTTAAAAACCATGACAGGAGCTGTGCCCAAAATGCTTCCCACAGCAGAAATCCTGGCATAATACAGCCATGCTGGCTAATGCAGGATAATGTCAATGGCTTCAGCTGCCTTGCTAATATTATCAAAGTAAAATGTGATTCTTGTTATGCTAAGAGGGTGTGCTCGGGAACTGAATCTCTTGTTGACTACAGCACTTGGGATCCAGTATTAAGAGGGAGGAGGGAGTAAAGAAATCAATTAAACCAAAAAGCCTGCAAAGCATTGTAATTAAAAATGAAAATGTAAAAGGCAGCTGGCCACAGCGTATGGATGCCATTAAACGAAGCCTCTATGGGAATAGCAATTCCTCTCATGCACAAGTGATAACTCAGGGAGAAAGAAAAGTGGCAATTCTTTAATACTTCTGCCCAGAGAGTTAAATATACTCTTATTTGATCTGCATTCACACTTACGCATAAGTGACTTACACAAAACATTACTGTAGGGATTATTTAGGAGTATCAGGAAGTCAAGTGTTGTTTTTGAAGCAAAAAAACTTTGGAATGGAAATTCAAGCCAACTACATTTATTTCCATATAGTATTAATTATTTTCATATAGTATTAATACCGTGATCTTCAATATAACTAAGTAGGCAAAGAATGTGTATACACTTTTAAAAAGTGTATTTTCCCTCAAGTGTGCCCAAGCTTGCAATGTGAACATCAACCACAGAACAACTCATTAGGGTTTTCAGACACATGGAGTAACTTCTTTTGAAGATCCTTTGCCTTTATGACCAATAGCAGTCAAGTCAGTCATGGCTTCCTACACCTGTCCACTCCAGCTGTAAAACACATATCTTTCTTTGTTTCGGCTATGATTTGTTTAAGATACAAAACTCTTGTTTCTTCAAGGCTCATAATTACCTGAATGTAAATTATGTTTTATGGAAACATCCAAACAGAAGAATGCTAAAGTTAAGTACCCATCTTTGAATTATTTACACATCATCTTTTCCAGTATTAAGTTCATTCACCTACTGTATCATAATTTTATTCCCCTGGATACTATTTCCACTTAACAAACAGTGCACACCAAAAAAGGAATTGGAAAAGAAATTCTGTCCCCTATAATGACTTGTTCAGTAAAGTCTTTACATTAAGTGAACTTAAGGCTACCTGCAATCCCAAGGAGAGTGAAGCGTGTTCTATTTTGTTAACTCAGTGCTAAAGCAATACTGTAATATATCTGAAAATGAGAGTCACTTCATAATCTGTTTGATTATATTTAAGTCTCCTGTATGCAAATAGTGTGTCGCAAAGAACTTCTCTTAGAATGGGGGTGCCGAAGTACTGGCCACAGGCAAACCACCACCAACCCTTCTGTAGCCTCCAGAAGCCCCCTTAACGCTTGGGGTTAAATGGCAAAATGGGTACTTTAGTTCTTGTTAAAACATAAGGAACTCTTTCACCTCTTAACTACCCCCTCCCCAAGTCTCCTCCACAAGAAGGTTCTGGAATGGGCCCCTCAAGCTGACAGAAGTTTATCAAACAATTCTGTTTAACAAATGACATCCGGTACCACCACTGTCTAAAATTCATTCTGAAACAAACAGCACATATTACTAACCAGTCTCCCAACACTACTGTCCTTAAGAAAGAGATATCTTTGTACTTCAAAATTGCAACACAATCTGCTTTTCTTGTGGGACACCTCTGGAGAATATGCACTATTATCATACAAAGAGGGAAAATTAAACTAATGCAAGTGGATAAGGGGACAGAAGGGAATGCTACTGAGCTCTTTTCAAGACCTGGAGAATTGACGTGCAGGAGAGGATGCACTTTAAAAACAAAAACAACTGATGGCTTGAATAGGTGCATGCTTACAACATCAACTGAAGCCTGCGACTGCAATTTATTGGCCACCAACACCATAATGCTCTTCGAGCATCTCCTTTTACCCTTGCAACTATGAGATGCTGTGTCTTTGTGCTGAAATTGCGAACGTAACAGATCTTGCACTACATGATTCCTGAGTAGTACCTCTGTTCTGGAAAATTCCTTCCTTCCCTGTTTCACAGATACAGATGCACACACTTAACCTGGATAAAGTTTTTTTTAAATTATTTATTATCTGCTCACCGAATATATTCAAATACAGAGTGCCCACTGAAGGGGCACAGAAGCAGATTTTCTCCATGTGAGATGCCCACAGAGACATGAGTGGGCACTATTCTCATGGCCCTTCACCATTCAAGACCACGTTTACAGCTTTATGGTTGTAAGTGAGAAACAGCACCACATATATTGTTTTAGAATTACTGTTTGTTATGTATTGTTGTGACTGGATTTTATTATGCAAATTATTGCTATATACCATTTAGAGTCAGATAAATTGAAGC